TGCATCGTTTCCATTTTTGTTTGCATCGTTTCTATTTTTGTTTGCATCATTTCTTTTTTGTTTGCATCATTTCTTTTTTTGTTTGCAGCGTTTCTTTTCTGTTTCCATGATTTCTTTTTTGTTTGCAGTGTTTCTTTTTTGTTTGCAGCATTTCTTTTTCTTTGCAGTGTGTCCCTTGTGGGCCATCGTACATATGTCAATAAGATTTGGACTAAACAATCAGATCATGGCCAGGAATATCCAATGGGGGCGGGGCTTATGCGGAAAGGTTCGTTGCGCAATGATCGATAGCAAGGTAATTCAAACAAACCGATTTTCATAATTATTATGTTTTGAGTTTGATTACCAACTTGCTAACTAGCTCCGATTTAGAAGAATGTTGACTTCGTGGAAATATCTGTTCTATTTTTAGCTACAGATGGGCTGAGTTTTAGATGTCAATGACAATGGAGGACTTCATGATGACACATACTGTATAGGCTACAGGGAGGTGTAAAAATTCTCCCTTCTATAACACCGGTAACTGATCCTTTCGGTCGCGCTTCGTTTCGGTCGCGCCTCATTTCGGTCGCTGTTTATTTCGAACAAATGGAGCGCCGAAGGAGTTGCGAAAACGCAAAATTTAATATACCTAGGCCCTATATATTATTATAGGCCTAATTAGTTCGTCAAGCGGTTCATCATAGGCATAAGTATTTTTTTTTTTTGCTATCTTTCTACTAACAACATTTTATCTTTCTACTAACATATTTTCTTTCTTCCATTATGGTGATATATTCTCCGAAAAGAAGTGCGACCGAAATGATCTGTATTCATAACACCACACCTCCGCGAAAGTTAGAAGATTACCAGTGGAGTGGGGTGGTGGCTGGAAAGGTGCAAGTCTTTATACGAAACTAGCAAAAATATTTGGAAAAGTAGGCTTACTGGCAGCCTAGGTACCATTAAAAAACGAAGCATTAGATGTTCTTAAATATTATTATGGTTGGTCGTCCGGTGGCCCAACCTGACTGGATGGAGTTTACTTACGATGTTAATTACCCTCCACTAGGCCTACACCAACAATAAAGTCCAGGAATTCGCTTAATTTCACTAGGCCCTAATAATAAATGCAATCAAAATTTGGAAATATTTAGAAAACCATACCTGCATATGTTCACCGTGTTTTTGAGCTACTCACTGTAGAGATCTGGGTACGACGACGGGAATTTATTGTTAATGAAATTAATATATATTTTTTTTTAATGGAAAAACCCGAATAGAATGTACCATTTTGTTACAGGTAAGTTATTCTAAATAATCTAAATATTAAACAATGAAAATCAGTTTAATGAAAGTCCTGATCACAAAGGTCATACCCAGTTGCTACGTCTGACGCATCTGGCGTGTCTTCGCTTTCAGAGCTATTCTACTCATACTAGCAGCTCTGTAGCTGGACTCGTTTGGGCAGAGGAGGATTCAGAGATGTCCGAAAGTGTTTTCCTGCACCTGTTTTGTTTTCTTTCTACTTTCGTGGTTGTGTTGCTCCTCTTTTTATACACTTTTTTCCGTTTCAACCATTTATTTTTCCCCTTTTCTATTGTTCCGAAAAGCGCATTTCACGCATGCTCATTAAAAGTGCACAATAATTGATCATGGACCATTGATGGATTCACTAGAGTTGACCCAGTGAGAGTTTTTAATAATAACTTGGACGTATTTTCATGGGTGGCGCTATCGGGGGTCGGGGGACAAAGGACCCCGTCGGGGACCCCCGGACCCCCCACTTGGACCACCTGTCGGGCAATTTCCAAAAAGTTCGTCGGGGAAAAATCAAATCTGGGCGCCGAAATTATCCTTCTTAAAAAAAGAAGAAGAAAAAAATCCCCGACAGATCTAATTGTTTTCCGGGGCGTACGTGGACCCCCTTGTAGGGAAGCTTGGACCCCTCGTTGGGGAATTCCTGGTGCCGCCCCTGTGTAGTAAAAAATTAAATACTAATGATAATCGGATTCGTAACTATTTAAAGAGGGGCATATTCGGTCTCTATCGGTAGCTATTCTAAACTAATCAAGAAACTTGGTGGCACATAAAATTTAACAATTGCAGATAATATCTCGTAATAACGAGATAATATCTGAATTTTTTTCTTTAGTTGGCAGCAATACGCTTCCGTACTATTGGAATAAGAACAATAGATTAGAAATACAACATGAGTCAACAGAGCCTGTGGCCGCTTCGTTATGGCATTGCTCGTTACACGCTTTTTCATATGTATAAATATTTTATAGACCTATCATTATATTTACACAATAAATGCAATATATCAGCAAAAAATGTCAGATGTGTGTTCGTATTAATTTATTATTATTCTTATTTTTTATTATTATTATCATTATTATTATTATTATTATTATTATTATTATTGTTCAAATTTAAGTCTGAGAGTGCCATTTCCGGCCAACTAGAGGTGCCATAATCGTAAATTTTCGTATCTCAGCCCCACCATGGTTGATAGTCTACACTCTATCTGTAAAGGTATCATCCTGTGTCCACCTCTAATCCTAGATCCGCCACCGTAAGCCTATTTTGGAAATGTGGTGTGGGAATAAATGTTATTTGCATTCCTTAAAATCAATTACATAAGACAGTCTAGAGATGCCAGAGCTCCGGGGGGAGCTCCTGTATCCCCAAGACATTCTTATGCCTAACACCCCCCGCCCCCGCTTTCAACCACGGATCGACGCCCTTGCCTATTATCATTTGATTTACTACAGACCCTTATAGTGGTATGATGTGGGTGGGGGAGGTTGGAGATGTGAAGAATTTCTTACAACTTTTATGAAAACGTGAATCGGTATACCTAATTGAATCTTTCGAGGATTTTCCTACCGCACATGGGGAAAATTGATAGCTTTCAGCACCCTTATCTATACTAGCCATAGCTCAGGCGTACGACCCTCGAGGTTGACGTTTCACATCATGGGCCCAGCAATCAATCTTGCATTGGGACTTGTTCTCACCCACACGGCTACTTACTATCAAGTACGAACGTATTATTAGCACGTACGTACGCAATAATACCACGTACGGACGTGTTACTATCACGTATGAAATACGTACCGTACGTATTACTATCACGTACTTACGTATTACTATCACGTAGGTAGGTAATACTATCACGTACGTACGTATTACTAATGCGTACGTACGTATTAGTATCACGGCCTACGTACGTATTACTATCACGTACGTACGTATTGCTATCACGTACGTACGTATTACTATCACGTACGTACGTATTACTATCACGTACGTACGTATTACTATCATGTACGCACGTATTACTATCACGTACGTACGTATTACTATTACGTAGGTACGTGATAATTATCACGTACGTACATGATAATAATACATACGTACGTGATAATTTTTTATTCATCATGTCCCCTCTGGGTCTTCGTAGATGTTCATTTTATTTACACAAATTCACTTTGTAGGTAATGAGAATTTCCCCGAAGGGTTAACTTTCCACCATATTATGATGGTTGGTCGTCCGGTGGCCCAAGCTGACTGGATGTAGTTTACTTACAATGTTAATTACCCTCCACTACACTAACAATAAAGACAGGGATTCGCTTATTGTCACTAGGCCCTGATAATAATAAATGCAATCAAAATTCGGAAATATTTAGAAAACCATACCTGCGTACGTTCACCGTGTTTTTAAGCTACTCATTCAGTGTCGAAATCTGTGTACGACGACGGGAATTTCTTGTGAATGAAATTAATAAATTAAAAAATAAAAATGGAAAAACCCCGAATAGAATGTACCATTTTGTTACAGGTAAGTTATTCTAAATATTAAACAATGAAAATCAGTTTAATGAAATTTCTGATCACGAAGGTCATTCAGTAGGTCTGACGCAGGAGCCAAAATTGTGGATGATCGAGATAACATTGGGGATGATAAGATTTATTTAGATATCGTATATGTAAACACCCGAAAATAACCTCTGAGGCGTTTTGGGCGATTATGTTTTTCTTTTTTTTCTTTCCTTTAACTTTCCAAAATGGGGCTGCGGCTGAGCCTACCCCTAAATCCGCTCCTTGAGTTGGGGGTGGGGTGGATTAAAATTGATCGTGAAGCGCCGTCTTAAATCATATTTGGCAATCTCGAATATTTCTGCTTTGCACTGGCTGCACTGCTCGTAGCTACACCACTAATCCTCTGTTCTTAACCTAGTGACGCTAAAGCTTCCACGATGTCATTGCGAGATTTTCGTTCGCTAATAGTACTGCTTCTTTCGTAGTAAAGCTACATTGCCGGGCGTCTGTAAGACTGTCTGGCTTGTTCCAGACGGCCTCACATATCCAGACGCCAATGTGCTAAGTTCAGAAGTACCAGTCTCCAACAGTATCCATTACCACATTTTCGATGTTTTTCCGATGACATTCATGATCGTGAATTAACCTGAATATGAAAGAAATATATACATAATTTGTTTATTCAGTAAATTATTGCTATATTAAAAATTTAGGGCGAGGGATTGGCATTTTTTTAAGATCTCATTTACAAATAGGCCTAAAAATGATTTCAAAATTAATAATATTCTAAAAGAAAAACCGCCAGCAGCAGTGGCGGCACCAGCGACCGAAATCTTGGAAATTGAGGGGAAAGGCAATCATAGGCGTAGATCCCGGGGGGGGGGGGATATATCTCCCCAATATTTGACAAGGGGGGATGGTCCATTGTATCATTCCCCCAATATTTTGACTATGTATGGGATAAAATGGAGTTTTACACACTTCAAAAGACTGTCACAGAAATAATTTGCACTGTCGTATGCGCTTACAAAGATGAAAAGTAGCATAATGTATTAATGTTGATAACAAAATTATTTTATCTGGTACCAATCTAAGCTCTTCTTTCCTTAGATGTTAGTTTGCTTGCAAAGAGAGCCACATTTCACACTCAATGGTGTGTACAACATCAGTAATGTTATGTCAATTCCAAGAATGTTTAAGGTTATATCGGTTGATGAGGAATTTATTGATTAGGCCTATAATAGCAAAATGCATCAATTTATTTTGCAAAAACAAGAAT